CAGTTATGATTCAGCAAGACTGCGACAATTTGGCCGGAACGTTTTGGAGTGGACTTTGAACTCAGATACAACCCCCAATTCTGTTCCTTTGTATCACTCTCTCCTAATCGCATAAAACTGCTAGAATTTTATACGAAGAGTACCAGCAGGGCTTACAACTTATCACACTTGTTTATTTCATGAGATCTTTCCCTTAGCATCTATCCTGACCACACTTTTGGTGCGAAACCAAAAATCACTTTCAGCAACGTCATGCGTTTTGCACTCAAATTTCAGTAATTGGCTAAAACATTTGACCAATCGGTAATAGTTTTGAAATTCAAAATCTTTGACCCCATTATTCGGTTTGTATCTGGTTAGAGATAACCGACGTCACATGAGATATTTAAATGATGCACCGTCGTCGATGACCTTTTTGACTAATTTCATCCTTGCGTGAGATGGCTTCAAGAAATTTCGTTAGATTGATCATGAACGAACTGATCTCTGATTTCCGCTTAACGTCTCACGTGGCCCTTTGGGTGGTTACATTCGTAATGCACAGACATATATTACCACATAAAAATGATTGGGCGCTGTTGCCGAATAAATGCTTGTGAAGGGCTGTCATTTCACTAGCCAATGGGGTATCAGAGGGAGAAGGAGGAGCCTTGTGATTGGTCACGTGTGAATCGGCTCCAAATCTATGCCTTAGATTTAATTACGGATTTTATCAATTGGAATAAGCAGAATTCTTTTTATTAAAACCCTCAACACAATTCACTTTTTAAATGTGTGTTAGAGCAATGGTCCCTTTATGCGTCTGGTATCATGCTAACTTCGCTAAAATCAACTCTATCGTGAAAACAATTAGCAAATGAGTTCCACATTTGTCGCAGTAACTGGGAGAACATTGTCCCGTCTTGGCAATTGATTGCTACGCCATAAATGTGCGATTATCGATTGCTTGTTCAACAACCAATAAACGTTGTTCATTTGCCACGAGTTAGTTACGATTGGTAGGGTTCTGCACATCGATACTGGCCGTTTAACGACGAGAAATTTTGTGCGAACGAATTATTGTGCCTGCCCAGCTGTGTCACGTGAATGTTTGCTCAAATCCTCTAATCACGACATTTCATTCAGTCGCCCCAACCCTTACAATCCCACCGATGCTATAGACGTGATTTTATTCCTGGTACAGCGTAGCGGCGTGCCAATGAACAGCTGCAACTTGGAATCAGGAATTACCGAAGCAAACGGGTTCTTATTCTCTGTTCTCTCGTTGAATCGCGAGCCGTTAACGACAGGAATGCTTGTTACTGGTTCTACTCACCTTTTTTCAATTATAACAACCGAAGTAGGGATTGACTTCTTGTCAAATCCGTCTCCAATTGGATTAGTCAACCCGGACATTCACTGGCACTCAAAATTGGGCAAAAATTTCGGGCCAGATTCACGTTATTTCTGGAAACTGTCTGACATTAGGGCGAAAGAATGTCGGCGATAAATTGGCAACCGTGTCAATCGACACCAAGCTACTAATTTTCTGCATAATGTTTAATACTGACTGAAATGAACGTTGCGTTCAAGTGGAACAATTCGTGCCAAACTATCGTAAAATTTTGCCGCACACGAGATACGATCTAGCGAAGTCCCCTTGATAAATGATTAGCGTTGGGAATGCATTTGGATTTACCGTTTATGGGTGGCGAAGGATCGATGTTGGATATTCTTGTGAAAGTCCAATCATTTACTTGATTTAAACAACGACACTGAGTAGCCACAGGAAGAACTTGGGGAGGTTTCGCATCGAGATTGCTTTCAGCCTTCTAGAAGAATTGGGTGAACAAGGGGATTACGTCGAGGTCACCAGCTGTGGACTGGGTTCTGTGAAGTCTGTTACGTCGCGATATAACACGAAGTATCCGAGTAAGAATCAAGACAGCCTTCTATTCGAGTGCTGAGTGTCGTGTGTGGCGTTTGTGTGTGTGTGTGTTTATGGCTCGGAAGTGTGACACCACGTGAGTCATGAGTGGGCTAACATCGAGACAGCGGTTAGGTGATCGACTACAGTCTGATTACGTCACCCATTAACTGGTTCCCATTCGTCGGAATGTATTGTTGAACCTGGATCCACTTTGCACTCAATGGTAGAGATCGACGTCACAGAATCTCGTTGGTGGATGTTGAAGTATTCACAATTCAATGACTCGTGCAACGTCAGTGCGTTAATCATGGTTCCGACCATTCTCTCCTGGATCTGTAGAAGACGGTCAGCGATCGAACGTGAGTGAAGCTTGCTTAGTTACTGGTTTTGATGACTCACCCTTGTCTTTCATTGGTTTCTGTTTTCGGTCACTTGTTACGCATACGATCGTTTACATTTGATAGCAAATCAACAACGACATCTTTGGCAGGTGCATCTCCAAATAAATGACCACCACGATTGTACTTATGGAAGCCTTCAAATCTGTCCTCGTGGATTTGTGGTAGATTTTCCTCGGTTTTGTCAGGCTTTTTTATCATAGAGGAAGATTCCATTTTGCAGGTGAATTAGTGATATCATCATCAACAATTGAGCCTCTCAACCGTAGTGGACTACGACACCTCCAGTGTCTGTGGTACTACTTTTTGTGGCATTCTGTTGTTAAAGAGGTGAAGTAGCTCGAAAATCTTGCAGCACATCAAATTACGGTGCATTGGAGATGACTTCAAACGACTGTTATGGAAGACTTCTTGCTGATTGAAGAAACTGGCAACTGTATACCTGGCGCCGCCATTGCGACACGTTCTGCCAACGGTCTTTTTGGTTCGTGGACATCACCGGTCCACTGCACCTCTGGCAAGAGGTGATAACGAGATGTTGTGTCAGCTCTGTGTACAACTTCAGTACAAAAGCGTCGTAGCAGGGCTCTGTAGGAGATGCTGAAGGTTGAAATCACGTCACTGCAACTCCAACCACGCAACCTTATCCAATTTTTCTGAACTGTACCATGATCCGTAGACTGGCAATTCCTCAAAATTCAGCGAAATTCTAGGTACTTTAGTTATCCGCGATGAAATAATCAATTTTATTGCGGTTACCGGCGCTGTCCAGGCAAAGATTTCGGTCAGCCCTCTACTGGTGGTGGTGATATGCAGTATTTGACAAAGGCCCATCTGCTTTTTAAATCCTTTTCCTATGTTTTGATCAGCCAAAATTAAGAGTTATTGGAATTCATTTGACTATGAATTTTGCATTCAGTTGCTAATAAGCCCTATAATACCAGTTAAGCTGTCTTGAAACAGGTCTGTCGAATGAGCACGGTGGATTAGCAAAATAATGTAACATAGTGGGTGTCGGATGGCATCTCTTTTCGAACCATACTTTGCTGCGCTCATACCATATCGTGCGTACTCCGTACCAACACCTCATGCGGCCACACAGCGCAATCGATTTGGGTTCTGGAATCCTCACTAGGCAGTAGTCAATCAGTTTCGGCAAAAAATGCAACTAGAACAGGCTTTAGCGTGATTTGTGTTCCATCAAATAAAGTTTGACAGCTTTTCAGGAAAGCTCACACTATGCCTCGAGTTGTTTGCAGAGACAGCTACCACCGCCGGCGATGCATCGTCCGTTTTTTCGTACAATTTCTGAGAGGACAGTATGGGTTTTAGTTCTACGAGACTCAGTCCTTGCTGCACACAAAACCAGCCAATCAATGCAAAGCGCTCTATCGCAAGGCCACGCCTTTGATTCAACCTGACATCGAAATCGATGACAACTCAGACGTTTCCGTGTCTGCACATAGCAAACTCGGAAGGCAATCGAAAGTTTGAATCCGCAGATTTGCATACCCCTGCCTTGACACCAGGCGCCTACATAAAAGGCCCTAGTAGTTGATGTGCGTGACTTTAAATCAGCTGACGCCATCGTGATAAACACTGACCGTGATGCAAATCTATTGCGCCTTCCAAATAGCAGTTTATCTCCGCCGATTACTTACCTGGGTTGCTCCCAAGGATGACAAGCAAGCGAAAAAATATCCAGCATTTAAAGATCTTGCAACTTAAATATATACCCGTGAGTTTGGAAGGTCTTGGCATCAAAATGTTGAGCCGCTAGGTAACCACGGGCCTTCTGAAGGCGGCACACGATGCAAACGCCGCAAAACCTCGTAGTGACACCCAGACACATCGCACCAGATTAAACTTGATCCACAAAGCCTACGACGGCCCCGTTGAAACACAGGGATCCATAATTACGCGCGCGACCTAGGGCCTTGGCCGACTTGGAAACGATCTCCACAACCAGTGATTTTAAGGTCGATTAATCGCTGAAATTGAGACTCTGCCGGTGCTGCGTCAGCCAAGCCAATTGGAAGTTGGTGAAGAATTCATGTAAAGACGCAGAACCGTTCCGACGGCCAGATGCACAATGTCAACCACGCGTAACTTGTGAAAACCGAAGCAGAACAGTCCAATAGAGCAGATTCTCAAGCAAATACAGCTGAAGCGGAACTCTAGAACTACATTTACTCTCCTTTTCACATCAACAAGCAAGTCTGAAATACACTAGCCCCGGCTGCACGTCAAAGAAGTCGTTGTGTGGAGTGTTACTTTTATAAAAGCAGAACAATTCGTAAAGCTCAGGGAGGAGCACGCGTTGCGCACGGTATCATCAAAGGTGGCGACAGCACATGGACTCAGTTGGAAGGGGGGGGGAGGGCTATATAGACAGCCGGGGTTGCATGAATGTTAGGAGACGCGCGGTGACCGCCGGGGCAAAGCGAGATGATATGGAACAGTGCTCGGCTGTTGCGCGTGCTAGCAGGAGCAGACGCGACACCACACGCACACACACAGGTTGTCTCTAGCATGTGTAATTGTACAATCATGCATTAGAAAGAAAAAAAGTAGTTAGATGGGAATTGAACCAGACTGGAAATGGGTGGACGTGTGAGGAGGGAGAGGGGTTAGATGTACAGGGGATTCAGGGAGAGGCTATCTCTTTGAAGCTACCGAAAGATGTACAATAGCTAGTTCTGGTCATCCTTCGAATTGGTCTCGCCGATGTTGTTGAGTACATCTTTTTTGCCATTACTTGCCGCAGCCGAGGCAGCACTTTCGGCACGAGCCTTCCTAATGTTGGCGAAGTACTCGTGCTCCATGGCCTCCTTGGCTGTCAGACGGTCTTGGTGATCGTATCTAAGGAGTTTGTCGAGCAGGTCAATGGCATCAGGCGTTGCCAGATGCTGACAGTCGGTGGTAATGAAGCGATCCCAGCGTTTGCGGCCATGCCTGCCAAGAATGTCGTTGAAACGAGGATCCAGCTCGATGTTGTACTTGCGAATGTAGTCGAACAATTCGGCGGTCCCCAACACCTTCGCAATACGCACCAATTGATCGTAGTTATCGTGACCGTGGAAAAATGGCTCTTTCTTAAATATCATACTTGCAAGCATGCAGCCCAACGACCACAAGTCGAGAGAATAGTCGTAGGTCTAAGAAGGCATTAAAAGCAATGATTTTTAGGGGGAAAACACTAAAAACTACAGTATGGAACACGATTCGTGCAGACAAGTACCTAGAAATGGGCTTCAAGATCCCACAGGAACTTGACAATATTACATAAAAACGACACCCAACCTGTCAAATTTGAGATGTCAATCCTAAATTATGGTCCTGCCTTTGAACCACCGATCGACGAATAACAGTTGCAATAACATAGTCACTGAGTCTAGTCCACATACAAGCCCTTCATAATGGAAAATCGGACGCAAATTGTAAATAGAGGACATCGATTGAGCATCTGGTTACCAAGCTAGCCACACATTCGCATCGAAAGAGGTTCAAGAAATAACCACCAACATTAAAAATCGACAATTCAGCCACTACCTTCCATGTTACAAATGATTTTGAAGGCGTTTAGAGTTTATTATGGAACAACGGAATGCAAGGAGCGAAAATTCCTTAAATAGATTGGCATCAGGAGAATGTAGCGTGATGTCAGCGCCGCGCCATTTAACTATTACACCAAAAGTTGATCATAAGTGCGGACCAGCATTTGAACCCAACTCACCGTACACTGCACAAATGGAACTATACCTAGAAAAACCAAACTCATCAGTTACCACAAACCCCACGAGTGACATACCTGGTAGTCAAGAAGCAGTTCGGGTCCCTTGAAGTATCGAGAAGCAACGCGAACGTTGTACTCCTGTCCGGGGTGGTAGAACTCGGCGAGGCCCCAGTCGATGAGACGGAGTTTGCGCATGGGATGGTCAATCATGACGTTGTGTGGCTTGACGTCGCGGTGCATTATCCCCATGCTGTGGCAGGCGTCGAGGGCACGAAGCAACTCGAACATGTAGTAGCGGATGTCGTAGTCTGTCAGGTTTTGATACAAGTCTTTAAAATCCTTGTTGTCCACGTATTCAAAAATAAGAGCGGGGGTTCTGGACTGGAAAGAGAGAGAAGAAACCACAACTGCTATGTCCATTTTACCTGGCAAACGGCGCCAAACAATGTCTAACGTTACAAAAAAGAGCAAGCACCTAGTTGTGGGGATGCAAGGTGCAGACAGTAAAAGTAAATCCCAAACTTTCCTACTAATGTTTAAACACGCACGCATTAAAGAGAGACAAATAAACGTTTTGGTAACCATGGTAAAGGCAACAGCCATAGGGGTGTAAACAACAGACTAGCAGGAAAACAAGATATCACGAAATGTAGTTCTAAGGGCTAATTTCTTCGCCGTTAGAAAAAGTGGATGGAAAAGGAGAGTATAAGATGCTGCTCTTATATTCATTGACCATGGGTAGGTAAAAACTTTTCAAGCAAAATCGATAGCTTGGGGGCTTTCATGTTTGATGGGTCAAAACGGAACGCTATTCAACTGGACGTCAACACGCACTGGACAAATGTAAAAAGGACTATGATTTCACATCTCTGTGAGCACAAGTCCTGAGTTACATAACCACAGCAGCGGCGACGATCTCACATGTACGTCAATAGTGCGAGGCAAGCACAAAAGACAACTAATGAGCACGTAATAACGGTGGCTAGTAAGCAGATCAGCCGGCTGCCAAAACGCGCAAATTTGTCAAATACCATGTATCTGACACTTCTAGTTCTGGAGCATAACCTTGAGAATTAGAGCATCTTTGATTGGTCTGCGAAATAAGAGTATCCAGAATGTGTTTTTTAACATTGGGATTGTGCCAAAACCACGCGCTGGAGACCACACCAAAGGTTTCATTTATGGGAGAATAGAACGTTTAAAGAAATTTAGAACAGCATTATTGACAGGCTTAAGTGGCTCACGTCCCGAAATGGTGAACGTGTGAATGCAGCACTTACCACAGGATCCTTGACAACTGCAAGTAAGTTGATAATGTTTTCCGCGCCTCTAAGATTCTCAAGGATCTTGATTTCACGTCTAATCTTCTTCTTTTTCACGGGTTTGAGCACTTTGATAACACAATTAGTGTTATTTGTGATGTTTATGCCCTGAAAGACTTCACTGTACTTTCCACGTCCGAGCTTGCGCACAATTTGGTAGTCATCCTGGTCGCCCCAGTTGATTGTGTAGTTTTCATAATCCCAGTACTCCCGCTGCTTATTAAAATTCACATCTGCATAAATGCGCGCCCTACTTTGAACTTGCATGGCTAAAAAGAGAACAAGACTGAGAGTATCCTAAAATAACTTACATGGCATTTCGCATTGCCGCCGCCCTTGCTAACTAGGTGATAAAACTGTCAATGGTGCTGAAATGAGGCAATGCGAGTAGGTAGGTCCTTAGTTAACTATTACCCCAAGATAGGCTCAGATAATTGGTCAGATGTGGTCCGATTCAATAGATGACATTCACTATAATTTTCGTTACTTTTTGAAAAATCTACTAGTAATTAACCTTACGACAGGGTGCAGAATATAAGCGACGACAAGTAATTCACACAAATCTCGCCTTGACAGATATCAAATTTCATTTACTGAATTCTCAATCAGGGAATTGTTAGTACAGGCCAAGCATCTGATTTAGTAATGCAACTACCACATTCAATTAAAAAGCGAAAGCAATTTACTATTCAAAAAAGAAACCAACGGCACAGAAAAGATGTTAAAAAGCAGGACATAAAAGCAGAAAATTCACCAAATCTGGTATACTATTTAAGCAACACAAATCTCGGTAGTGAGCGATTCAGACTGATTTTTAGTAGAATGTGTGGTAAGCTGAAGACCAAAAAAGACAACTCAAGTGTAGAGCAACAGCAGGAAAAACTTATCGAATGCCGATGATCTATAAATTTGCCGACCCCAAAGCGAAGAATCTTACGGCAAAATATTCGAATAAAAATGTCATCCAAGTGATAGTCAGGGATATTGAATTAATGTTGCATTTAAAAATCCCCTGAGAACCAACAGATGATGATGATACTTTGTAACAACTTAATCTAAAATCAGCATAAATCCTACGTTTAAGAAATTAACCGATGACTCGTCGTATCGGCTGCAGCATAAAAAAAATCCGAATTAGGGACGATACTTAATCATGACACCACTGGACACAAACTATGGAGGTGGGAGCATTCAGGATGGTGGGGACGATTGCTCTTTTGGCTGAATTGAATAAAACATTTTAACTAGTTTAAATGGATTAAGGAGGAAAGTAAACTCAACGATCATGGCCATCACAAAATTCAATGCTTCAAGGTTGGACCAAGATACTGACATTTCAATTATTCAATTTCAAAACAAAAGCAGACACATCTTCAGCTTGATGTAGTACTGATGTAGAAGGAAACGCACCTGGTTAAGGTACTAGCAACAAAAATACTTCTAAGTTAGCCACACAGCAGCATAAATCACATTTAAGACCGACAAAGTGATATCAAATTCTTGGATTTTCATTGAGAGGATACGCTGTCTTAATTTGTAAATGGCTCCATTAAAAATTCAAATGTAGTATTTTAGGTAAACTCAGTAAACCTATAGATTTTGCTTTCGCAGTATGTAGGTATATAAAAAATGTAGTTTGAAACCAGTAGATTCGACATACTATCTGCTGCAGATGATATTACAAATATTAAAGTCTAGGAAGTTGACGGCGCTAGATACAGAAACATTAAAATTTCAATGTAATGCAGACTGCAGAACCAAGAAAGTTAACTAGCATTTAAAACTTTCCATTGCAGACAAAAATTTCGAAAATATTTAATGTCGTCATGGAAAACTATTCAGGGAAAAACAATGTACACCAAAGTCCTACTTCCCAATATGACATTGCAAAAACTACAAGACTACAAACCAAACTGTAAACCAAAGGGAAAGATATTATATCATAAAATGACGAAACTTTAAGTGCCAACAATCGGAAGTAACTTACCGCCAGACGCAGACACAGTACGCCTGAGAACCGGACGCAAAATCGAAACAACAGTAGAGAGAACAACCAGCATAAACAAACAAATACTGAAATTAGTAACTAGATTTCAAAACCCATTGGAAGTTAATTTTTTACCTGCTTACTTGTAATGCATTACGTTTCTCATATTATTTGCTTGAAGTGACAAGGATCTTTAGTGCTTGTTATGATTACTATCTTGACAATGTGATGACTGACATTAATACTTCGAGTCAGATGAATATTACAAGGTTTTCATTGTCTTTTCTGCAGTAAAAAGAGTTTATATAAAATAGACGTGTGTTTATTTAATCGGAACCACACCCACGCTTGTCTACAATTATTCAATTCCGTTGAATTCATTCCTTATCTACTACTATGTAAATAATAAACAGGATATTTTTTTAACTCCAAGTGACCTCTGCTATCCTATGATTATGGCCAATATCAGTCAATGATTACCATTGTACATGACTACGTATTTGTGCTACCTAATAAATATTTAAATCAAAGTGTTTTCTGGCCTTCTAATTTACCAGGTGGTTGTCCACACGCGTTTCAATTCCCCTTTATAGTTCGACTTAGATTTTATCACTTAAGTCTTGTTTAAGAGTGATTTATTCCTGTATAAAATTGGTCCAAGACTTCTTCAAACAAACATCGCTTCTGTATTTGTCTCGAAATTTCTCAAGTTCACTCACATGCCAAATACTTTCAAGTTTGTACAAAACCAAAGTTGGGCCTAGTGTTTAGTGAATGACCAACTTAGATGTTTAATGTCAGTAAAGTCATTCTGTCCAGTGGAACATATTGTTATGTCTTTGAAGCAAGGCAATAAAGGAACTTCATTTGTCGTAATACTAAACAAGCAATCACTAGTAAGTAGGTCGTTTTGGAGGTAAATAGGAATAAATGTTTACTTTATTTAAACAGATAGCAGTCTGCTGTGTGATGCTTTATGTTCCTTTAGACAGCATTTTTACCAATATCATAACGTGAGAAACAGGCTTTAATTTACGAAAGGATAAGAAAGGTTTGATTCGCGACAAATAAGATGCAGCTTGAACACGGGACGTCAACTATGTGAAAGTTAAGGGTCATGGGACAGATTAAAAATTTCTAGGCGAAAATTACTTATATACTCACATGAAATCAACCGTTGAACGGCAACAAGTGAGTAGGTAGCATTGTTTCGATCTTAGTGTTAGGTATTAGGCAGGTTTGCATTAGTTAAAACCATGAATGGCTTGTTTGAGGTTCCCAAAAAGTGTAGACATTAAAAACAATGGACTTTTTACCTAACCACTGAATGTTTATGTATTGTAGTGTCAACTCTATCTAGTTGTACGTATGTTAACGTTTAAGTTTGCGCTCTTATTGCCGCGTGATTGATGACGGAGTTATATTTCAACGATCGCCGTGTTGATGGTCGGAAAGCGTCTGAACTTCGCGCTATTCAATGCGAATTCTTACCTGGATTAGCAGATGGCTCTGTACTCTTGCAGCAAGGTTGTTCGCATTCATTTTGTAATTGTGTTCTTGTTAGGAAATACCAAAGTTACCGCATCGGTGTTTGGACCGCATCCTTGCAACCTCAAAGCGGATGAAACCCCTGATGAGGTGTATGTTACTTGTCGCTACAATCGGCCTCCATTCATCAGTACATCTGGAAACCGCCAAAAACATACATACACAGACAAAGTTGCTGCTGAGTATTCGATGACCATCGAGGTACAGTTCACCAACACATTTGTCATGGTACAACTTCGACTACTATTAACTCCTAAGCCTCACTAATAACTTCAAAGTATTATGTGAAACCTCATTTTATGAAATTTTCCTCAATTCCAACCTGTTGCTTCTTTAGCTGTGTAACTGGCCATTCGCAATTCCTGGAACGGGTCATTACTTTGACGAAACACTTATAAGCGTAGCTATCTAACTGTCATAATCGCTTTCTTGTCCCTCCAAGTACTTGTAAATGTTAAGTTCTGTCTCCATGGTAATTTTTAATTAGATTGGTCGCCAAATTTTACTCTTTCCCTGTTGTCGTCACATGTAACATTCTCTATCTCACATTTAATGGTTTTTTTTTACTGTAAGTATTTATCTCCCTCGTTTTGTGTGTCTTAAATTTGTTCCAGATTTTGTAATATTTCAAATCCCTTGGTAGTACCAATCTTGACTAAGTAAAATGCATGGTAACCCATCTGACACGTTGGTAGTTCTTTTGTTGCCGTTAATCACGCCTCAAACAAAATGTTAGATGCTTCTGTGTTTGATTCCTCAGACTATACTTTAGCCCATTTTTTTGCTTTCTGTAGGAGATTTTCTCGACACTGATTCGTGGGTTGGTGTATCCCATGGCTCAGATCGATATATTCATCGAAGTTCTTCAGTCGGATGGCTCAGAATTCAGCGCAGCCGTCAATGCCGCTAGCCTAGCTCTAGCGGTTGCTGGTATCGAGATGATAGACTTTGCAGTGGCCTCAACCGTCGGTAAGCCTTTCAAATACCTCCTACACCTACACTTTTTTGAATGTGCGTGTTTAATGCTGCCGACCAAACACCTTCGAGGTACCGCAAGTGTCGCGTCTAGTTACCACTTGTGCAAGCCTTCATCTTTCTCCTGTAGGCTTTTATGGATCGCGACTCTTCGCCGACCTATGCCGTTATGAAGAGAACTCTCGCGTTACTCAGTTCACCGTCGTCTGCCTCCCTGGCAACCCAGAACCCAACCCAGACATTCCCAGTGTGGATCTTGCTCTTCCACCACAGTCGGTGGACGCGTCCCACTGTCTGTACGGCGCCCGCCTCCTTCACACACGCCTCTCATCATGGCTGCCCTCTGAAAAACTGATCAGTCTTATACGCAGCGGTGTTGAGGTGGCTACGGTTATACACAGGGAACTCTCTGATAACTTGAAACGACATGTAAAGCTCTCGGAGCGCATGTAAATAAAGGCATCATCGAAATTTTTTCGAGTCTCCGTAGAACTAGCGGCTTTCCAATGCCTGGATTGTACCATGTGTGACTACGCGTTGTGAGTGAAAGTTGCCGCACTAACAGGATACCGAGGTGGTGGTTTTTTAAACGTGTCCCACGCAACGTGCGATCGATACCCTTCTGCTGCGGTGTTCTTATATTTCCCCTCAATAGTCACTTGTGTGGAGCTTTCCGTGAGCCTAGTAGGCTGCCACGTTTGCTTGACTTCGTCGATTTGCATTACGCGAACATAAACCCGAGGCAGCCCCGACTACGCCGTCATCAATCTGTGGGAATAATGTTCTGTTGGACTGAAAAAAGCATTCGTTTGAGGCATATTTCGACCCAAATAGTGTTTCTGTTGCGAAGCCGCGTAGTTCGTTAAGTGTACTGTGGCGTAGAGTTCGTTCCGTAAGGCTGAATATTTGAGAAGGCACCACGGCAAGTCATACTACTTTTAGATACAACTGTCGACATTCCCCCTGGTAAGCTGAACAGAGCTTGACTGAGGTTTATGAGGTTAGCGCGTTGTGCACATTTGATTTAAAAACACGTCTGTTCCTCCAAGTGATTGCTTACGGCATCGGAATAAAACGGAGCCTTTTACTGAACAACCACGAATTGAACCAATGACTAGTGTTTGGATTTTTGCCTGCGGGGTGGGTGATTGAAGGGTTGTTGTGGTAAATCCGGACACGTCTTTGTGTGCAGTCAATCAATTGCCACACCAAACGATCCAGTGCTATTCGCTCGTGTTGATGACCGATGCTCGGGTGTGGGATTATCGATTTTTTTATACAATGTACAAAAAAATCGATTTTGCTCCCGGATTTTGACTGTCGGAATTGTGGGTTTATTGCAAGCAATCATGCAGGAAAGTGCCTTGCTGGATGCAGATATAACTTTATGCGTTTGTGGAACGCGTTTATTAGTAGTCTGTGCTGAGATGCCCGTGAATTCGACAAATACTACTCGCTAGAAAGTACATAATGGACACGATGTGGGGGCAAAATGAAAAGAATAACTTGTATCTGCTGTCCAAATGAGTATTTTGTACTACCTAACTGCGTAGTTGGTGTCGCCTTAAGTTAAAATCAGCGTCAAATACGAATTAAATTCACCTGAATCGACAGTAGTGAGTAAATTATGCTTCCCCATTGGCAATGCACCAGCACTACATCACAGGCTTAAATCTCTGAAAATCGATTTCGCCTAACTCTACAAATCAATGCGGTTTAAAATGAAAATTATTGATTTATTGGTCAATATAACTGCATCAAATTTTGACAAATCCCTTCATCAGAATTTACAAATCAAACGCAGGATTTTAGATGATGAAATGTCAGCTGTCGTTGTCTGTATTATCGCGGAAACAGTGAATGTGCTGAAAATATCGTGTAATTGTAAACACAACCGTGGGCTTTATTTCGGGAGTTAGATAAATTAGTTTCGCGTGAATGTTTGAAAACACACTTCTAATTAATCGCATGCTTGGCCACTTCCAAAATGAACTTCTTTGGCAAAATCGGCCAGCGAGACAAATATCGCAGAGAAAATTGTGCGCCTGTGTTCATTTCAGCACGTTCTCCTTAGAAGCGCTTTTGCCACTATCGTCATCACTAAATGCAGCCTCGATTCGGTAGATTTCTCCTTCGATATTTCAACCCCACGAACTACGCACAGTGTCATTCGATGGAAATGAGCCACAGACCATCTAAAACTGACGTATCGATGTCCATCCGCATGTCGTCCGCCTGTCTTGCTGCCACCATCATTGACCTCTTCGCCGAATTCGACATGTTTGGCAATTTGATTGGCCTTGACTTGAGCCCAATAGGATGCGTCCAATTGGGTCATTTTAGTGCATTCGAACAAAGGGCCAAGTCTGAACCAGTGGGCATTCTTCTCGTCAACATCAGTGGACCTGGTGGAAATTATTGACCACTTAACTGTGACTGTGACCTGCGCTCTCGAACAGCACATAGTGGCACTGGTAATTCCAAGATTTGGCGTAGCATTCGGAATTTGGGCATGCTTCGTCTTGATGTAATGATTTAGAGCCAGTGGCAAATGGGTTTTGGCCTGTTTTTTGGGTTAATAAGTTAAAATACCGAAGTCATCAACATCATACTTCTGTCCGTGCAGACAAACATTCATGGGTGTTTATGACTGACTCAAATAGGCACCCAGACATACACAAGTGCGTGGAATTGACTTCGCCTCATTCGGCGATCAGTTCAGTGAAACATCCGACCTCTTGCTTCGTGTGGCTTAGTAATAATTTGTGTCAGCAGAAGAACAAGTGATGCATTTGAGGCCCACGTGAATGCTCTCATTGGTTTTAGCAAGAAACACGACTGCGTTGGTAAAAAATGTCCAGTAGTCGTGGGGGTTTCTTCCAAGAGATCTACAGCCTCATCTTCAGGAAGTGTGGATGTGAGAGTTAAAGGTGGCGTGACTGTCATCACTAATCTTGCTAAATCGAGTAATTTATTGGAGGGAGGAAGTAAAAGCATACCAAAATGGACATTTCTGTTTTTACTGCATCCGACACCAGTCGAGTTGGCAAGGAAATTGTTTTTTTTTGTGTTCGAAACTGCGTCGGCGTGTCAAAATCAATGGAAACTCTTCTCGTCAATTTCACCTAGTCCAATGTGAATTACCGAAGCCTGGAATTTGATCTAGACCTCCATTCGCGAACAGCGACCGGTGGCGCTTGCAGTTCTGTGATTTTGTGTAACGCCTCTTGTGACTTAAGGAAGTTTAATTTGTTGCTTCCTAGTTCGGAATTTGTTGTGCTTGCGGGTGATTCAAATGGGCATTCAGATTGACACTAATGGGTGGAATTGACTTCGCTTCATTCGGCGATCAGTTCAGCGATACATGGGATAGCTTGTGGTTTAGCCATTACTTTTTTCTGAGGCGTTCAAGGCACACGCAAACGTAATCCGTCGGATGGTAAAAAGCAGGACAGCTGTGAAATAATTCCATCGAAGGTAAACAAGAGTTCTCTGTGGTGTTTATTTTGCCTCTGTGCGGCTTACACGTTTTGAGGCCTCCTGGTGATCAGACGAGACCTGTACCAGAATTTCGCACACCCTTCACACCGTTACTACCGCTGTCCTCGACACTATGGGATTTCCCAAGGCCCACAAAGTACTTCCATCAACAATTCACGTGTTCACCGCGAAAATTCACATTTCCGGGGAACATTTACACACACACACACACACACACACACACCAACTCTATCTACAGGCTAAACGATCATTTTACCAAGAATTTAGATCATAACATGCACGGAACTCCTGTTAACCTCCACTGGATTTTTCTCACAGCTTTCCTGCTTTTTTCCATCCGACTGATTACGTTTGCGTGTGCCTTGAACGCCTCAGAAAAAAGTAATGGCTAAACCACAAGCTATCCCATGTATCGCTGAACTG